AATTAGAGCTGCCAATCAAAAGTGCTGTCGTATATATGCACACAAACACACACTTTAGTATGCTACCGTTGATCTCTGTGAGTCGCATAAAGAGACTACTCTCTTCTGTGTATTCATGTGAGCGTGTGCATGTCTGTTCACACACAAGCTTATGTGAACATTCACAACAGCTGGCCTGACATGGTCAGCGCGGCTTTCTTCCCATTGGCTTGTTCCGCCGCGTAAACACACTCCGACGTGCTGCTGGTTTATCTTTAGCAGTACCCATTCAACCAGGGTAGACCCACTTTCAGCAGAGAGAGTCGGGGGGGAAGGGAGATGTGCAAGTCGAGCATAACTGTGGATGGGTGAGTGGAGGAGTTAGGGACAGCCAGACGTGAGGAGGTGTGTAAAGTGCAAGTGCATGAATGTGTGTATGAGCAGGGGTTAATAAATATATAAGGTTACCACAGCTGACCCATTTCCCATTTCCCGCTTCCTCTCCACTCCACACCCCGCCCCCAAAACACTCAAATAAACTTTGTCTCACATGCCCAGCATCCCAAAGCTCTGAAAAAATGCTTACACCAAATATCCGATATGATGATTCTTATATTTCATCAGCACTGGGTCTCGGATTTGTTTTTACTGCGGCCATCAGAGAGCTAAAGCGGGCTGACTGGGCTTGCATAGAGTTTCAAGAGAGAGACATCAGTCCAGGCTTCTTTTTCATAGCGATGGAAGGAGCAGAGGGCAGGAGAGGTAGAAGGACGAGGCTGGCAAATCCCCCTAACAAGCAAAGACACTAGTGCTGACCCCTCATCTGTGTCATCTTTGTTTGTGTGCATCTGAGAAGAAGCTTTACAACACATGCAAGCTCAAATGCAGTAGAGCTGAAATAATAAATAAAATAATCGACTATTAGATACACAGAAAAATTATCAATTCGATATTCGATTAGGTAATTTTCCATGCAAAAATGGTCTCTCAAATATGAGAGCTTTTCTCAGCTTCATATTATGTTAGGCTTACATGTTTAGGTTTTGGACTGACAAGACTTAAGACATAACCTTGAAATTGGAGAAACTGTGAAGGACATTTTTCACTCTATTCTGACACAGTTTCACAACATATTATTTGTTAATGAAAAGATTAGACGAAAATAATAATTGACTAATTTAAAAACTGATTGGCAGATTCAACTATATTGTTTTTATAGTTGTTAGTAATTGCCTTGATCTGCAGCTTTTATTGAATTAAACATAGGAACGAACACACACACACACACACACACACACACACACACACACACACACACACACACACACACACACACACACACACACACACCACACACACACACACACACACACACACACACACACACACACACACACACACACACACACACACACACACACACACACACACACACACACACACACACACACACACACACACACACACACACACACACACACACACACACACACACACACACACACACACACACACACACACACACACACACACCTATTGGCTGCACAGAGGTGAACCCATAGGACAGGATGCAAACTGCACAGTCATCAGTAATTGTCATAGCTCAACAAGCGATGGGTCATGCCCTGCTTCTGTAAGCGTTATTGTTCACCAGAGAGAGGGAGAATCCCCATATAGCTATGCTTACTGTATGAAAAGAGCAGATACTGCTCCTGCTGCTGCAGCTGTCAAGCATCCCTGCCTGCACACTCACACTGTGTGTGGAGGGTAAACAGCAGATGTTCATGCCTAAAAAGACATGATTATAATAACGATAAAAGATGTTTGGATAACCCAGTGAATGCATTTCTGTTACAAAGAATGTGGTGGTTACAGCTTCTTTAATGTGGATGTGTTGCTGCTCTTATCCCTGTCCATTGATACCTTGTTATCTGTGTGTCAAACAAAGACACATCCTTTTGGGCTGTGGCATTTATGCAATCTTTGAAATGTTCTCTTCATTTTATTATTATTCAACCATCTGACATGAATTATAAATCAATGCATGGTGAAGATAATCCATAAATCAACTGATAATTAGTCTACACCAGTAGGTTACTAATTGCCTCCCTGCAAGGTTTGGCTCTCCAAGAGCTGAAAACCTGCAGCCAACATCTAGAGCTCTGACGGATCGCTCATGTCTGATTACTGTGTCAGTCACGAAGACGAATGAACCCTGATCCAAGTTTCAAATCATTATCCCAAGAGATGTTGATGATTTGTAACACAGTGCACATCTAGCCTATAATGGTGTTGAGGCAATGTATATATATAATGCTGCAATATTTACTTACATGTATATTACTAATGCCTATAGCCTTATTCTCCTGTAACTATTATTATTTGTATTATTAATATTATTAAGGATAGTATTTGTTTTTCTTTGTAATCCATATGGAAACAAATTATCTTTCCATAACCATGTAGGGTGATTTCTGTAGGTGTCCCAGTCATATGTAATTTATCCCAGGATCATTAAAGGTCGCCTTCTCGATTGGCTGTGCAGCTTTACTATGTTTCTAGGCATGGGCAGATACTAGTGAGGCAAATCTCAGATCAGCATCAGCCCGACTCTCCCGGTGCCACCGGAGGTTCTTACCTTGGTGAGCTGAGCGATCTTCTTGCACATCTTGCTGTGCATCTGGTAGTCGTACAGCTCCTGCTCGATGTTCGGGAACTCTGCCGCAGTCCCGTTAAGGGAAGAGCCTGGCCCGAGAGGCTGAGCAGCCTTACCGGCGCCTGAAGCCATAATGAACCCCCCCCAGGGAACTTCCACACCGGAGGATAGTCAGAAACCTTCCTGCTGCCTCCTCTCAAATGAAAATTCCCACCAAAACCGTGTCAACTTTTTACTTGTGCATCTCATTCCTCTGTCGGTAGACCCCCTCCCGTGAACAGCAGCTCGCCGGAAAACATTTGGTTGTAGATCGGCGGGGCTCTCGGTTGTTGCCCCCCTCCTCTCTCGGTGCGCCCGGTGCTCGCGGAGGTCACACGCTGGAAGTCCATCGGGGACGCGCTCGCGCCGACCGACTCTTCCGTGCTGTCAACAGATACGTTTTATTCTAAGAGCGAGAATAAAAAGGCATATAGTCCAACCACCTGTCTAGCGGCAGGGGCGGAGAGGGGCGTGTGTTTCCTACGGAACATTACCGGAGACAGCTCGAGAGGCGCACTGCTGCAGTGAGCCCCGCCTCTACCGGCGCTGCTGTATCAATCACCGGGAGGAGGGAGGAGGGTCTCGGGGGTCTGCTGTGTGGTTTACTCCATCAATCAGATAAACTAAACATATGACTGCTGCCTACTGCTTTTATTAAACGGGGGGTATTTCCATCGGCAGGGTAATTCTATACTATTGGCTACTAGCCTACTACCACTTAGAGTCAGAGGTGGGATGTAACTAAGTACATTTCCTCAAAATTGTACTTAAGTACAATTTTGAGGTACTTGTACTTTACTTGAGCATTTCCATTGTATGCTACTTTAAACTTCTACTCCACTACATTTTAAAGGGTAATCATTTAATTTTACTCAACAACTTGTACATTTCATATGTTGAGTTACATCTTAATAAAAACAAATTCCAAATACCTATACATACAAATACAAGACATTTCTTAGATAATCTGATGTGAACATGTTTAAAGGAATATCTTTGAATATTGTTTTCATGCCCAGATTTACATTATTACTCAGTTAAATACAATTTACCGTGTATACCTGGAATTATTTTTAGTAGGCTACTTTTGAAATATTATATACAAAAGTATACAAAAACAGGCCCAACTGTTTGTTTAGAATTAGGGTTAGGTTTAGGTTATGGTATATCATAAAGGCTATATAGGGTTAGATGAAAGAACTCAAGCACTAATCTGATAATAGATTATTTCCCACATTTGACCCATATAGGCCATCAGTGTACAAAATCATTGGTGTTGGGATGTCCAGGGCTGCAGCTCTCAGGCAGGAGGGTATCCTATCCAGGCTTATGCATTGGACCTGCGTGCATGTGAGCCTAGGATTATCTGAGAGGTCTATTATCATAATGATTATGCTGTTGGAAGCAGGGGGTATAAGTATCTCCAATAGTCCACCCACTCTCTCTTTCATGAGCCAAAAAGATGTGATAAAACAGCTTCTTGTACAAAACATAAAAGTACTCATTCTGCACAACCACTCATTTCAGAACAATATAGATTCGAATTGTCTTACCTTTAACTCTGCAGCTTGTTTCACTGTGGGATCAAGTTGTCTCTAACTTATGATACAACATAATGAGGTGGGCTTTTTTTGATAGTATATTATATAGTACTATAATGTATCTGAATCTCTAACCCTAACCATAATCAAAATTAGGACACATTATTATCTTGTTCTACAATTCACAAAAAATCCAGCAAACCAAGTCTCCCAAAGTGCCTTACAGTGGAGTACGTAGAATATTGTAGGCAATGCAAACATTTCTTTCAGAGAGGTTATTCATACATTTTCTATACCTCAAATCCATTCCCTCATTTCTTTAGGTGCACTCGTTACAAAAAAAAGAATCACAGTAAATATTTCATCCTAATTGATGTGCAACAGTATTAGTAATAATAAAGTCATTTTTTCGGCCCCTAATCGATCTGTTGTTTTGTCTGTCTGACTTTTGTTTTGTTATGTTTGTTTTTGCCCTATTACTTGTAAAGCGACTTGGGTCCCTAGAAAGGCGCTATATAAATGCAAGCTATTATTATTATTATTATTTTGAACCATTGAAGTAATAGGATTTGCCTTCTCTTTAATGGCGTGCAAGACAGATGAATGTGATTTATCATGTCAATTTACTAAACGATTATTAAATCTTTAAAATAACAGAAAAAAAGTGCTGCTGCTTTAAAAAGTTCATAAAGTAGCCTGACCGGTATAGCCTTCCAGGCAAGACTCAGAGCAGACATTTGAACCCGCTATATACGTCATGCGTAGTAGTCACGTCTCACTTCTCGCGAGACCACACGGCAGTTGAATTTGAAAACAGGCGGCAGTGTTGGCAGAGGAAATCGGAAAGAAAGGTACATTTCTAATTCTCATAATTTGTCTAATTGTATTGTATAATATAACGTCAGCTCCAACGTTATGATTAAATATAGTTGAACGTGTCACCAGATACTTTTATCCCGAAACAAAGTAGCCAGGTTACGTTGTTTTTCTGCTCTCCTTAGAGAGTGATCGAGGAGGGGCTTTTAGCTAATGAGGCACTAGAGACAAACGGGCTGCTGAAGTTAAAACGTTACGGCCGTGTTGTGAAGAAAGCTAAAGCGACTGTTGGACTAATTCTGTCTTTCAATGTGGTTTTCTGTGAAGGAAAGATGACTGCAGACAGTGAAATGGACATAAAAGAGGCGTTTCAGCGCGCTCAGAAGGGCCACAATAACAAAGCAAAGCTGGTGGCAAACCTGAACAGCCGCTACAACAAGGTGAGTGATCTGTGGTGTTTAATGTACTGTTCATCTCTTTATCTTTATACAGAATACACTTACTCAAGAGTTTATATCCATGCTGTAATGTGGGGGTAATAGTGTGGTAAAAGGTTTCACAAGGCACTATGAAAACAATCATAGGAGAACAAAATGAATAGGGCAATGAGAGATTTTAATATAAAGTCACAAATATAACTACATAAAAGAAAACAAACATTTAATCCACAAAAGTTATTAAATTCAGACTAAGGTTAGACTAAATGTTTTCATGAGGTTTGGTCCAAATATGTGGTGCACAGAAACTGAAAGCTGCTTTTGTGTTTTATTTGTATCACAAGGACAGTAATATAAACTGACGACATAGTAAGCTAGATGTCTTTTTATTTCCTATAAAATACATCTTCTTTCCCTATTCAACTTTTTCTACACTACTTGTTTTTTTGTATTCAGTTTTATTATATATTTCTTCTTTAAACCCCATGATTTATGACTATTATGTTTTGTGTTTACCAAGTATGTGCATGTGTGTATAGTGTAGATACAATATTATCTTTGTTGACAAACGTTGCTCATTGACTGTTATTATTTCAGTCTTTTATTTAAATGTTTTAGAATTTTTTTGGAAACATGAAAATGGGGTAGCATGTTGAGTTATTGAATGTAGGGTAGTCAAACCCTTACTTATTCACTTAAAAAATAAAATGATATATACAGAAAAATTGATATTGCTGAAACTGGTTATGTAATTTCCTCTAAATCCTCCATCCCCTCAACCAGCTGGAGGACAAGACCCTGTTCCATGAGGAGTTTGTCCACTACCTGAAATACGCCATGATCGTCTACAAGCGGGAACCTACAGTTGAAAACATCATAGAGTTCGTAGCAAGGTTTGCCACAAGCTTCCTGTCTCCACCGAAAACAGAGGAGGAGGAGGAGAAGCAGGAGGAAGAGGAAGAAGAAGAAGATGATGAGGAGGATGATCATCCATTTCTGAGTTTCATCTTCAATTTCCTGTTGGAGGTATAAACATTGTTACATGAGTGTATGCACACCGTTTCTTCTGTGATTACAAGTGATCAACTTTGTGACTAAAACATGTATCACGTTCACCCAACTTTTTCTAGAAAACACTTTCTGAATTTATTTCAAGCATTTGCTCTACAAAGAATCCCTGCTGTGATTGATGTTTCTGCTTCTTCTTAATCAGATTTTGTCCTGTCCCATCTGTTTCCCCTCTCCGCCTGTTGGCCTCCATCTGTTTCTTACTCCTACACTTTTATGTCTCACTTTCCTTTTTCCACTTCTTCTCCCAAATTGTTGCCTTGTCTTCCCAGTCTCACAAAGCCAGCAGCCATGCGGTGCGTTTCCGTGTGTGTCAGCTGATCAACAAGCTGCTGGGCAGTATGGCGGAGAATGCCCAGATAGACGACGACCTGTTTGACCGCATCCACCAAGCCATGCTGGTCCGAGTCACTGACAAGTTCCCCAACGTGAGGATTCAGGCTGCTCTGGCCATGACGCGTCTACAACAGCCCAAGGATTCCGACTGTCCAACTATCAATGGTGTGTTTTTTCTATCCCTGCATGATTTATTTAGATTTGACACAATACACTACAACATATGCAGAATATAGTCTTTAATTCACATTTTTAGAGAACATAGTTTTGTGTTTAATCAGTAGTTTTTCAATTCTCCTTTGTTTTTTTGTGATTTGAAATGTATGTTTTTTCTCTTTGTCATTGGCCCTCAAACCGTCTAATGCTCAGCTTTTTTCCACTTTTTAGCGTATATGCTGATTCTGGAAAACGACACCAATGCAGAAGTGCGTCGTGCCGTTCTTTCCTGCATCGCAATGTCCCCTCGCACCCTCCCCAAAGTACTCAAACGCACCCGGGACATCAAAGAGAATGTCCGCAAGCTGGCCTACCAGGTAACTTCAGATCCAGTCAAATGATATTACATTGTTCTTGCCAAACATTGTGATTGCGGTTCAAACTTGCTATCTTTTCTATTTTCTGTTTTTAAGGTTCTGGCTGACAAAGTTCACATTAAAGCTTTGACCATCGCACAGAGAGTTACTCTACTGCAGCAGGGTCTCCGTGACACCTCAGGTAACTATTTCTGTAATGAGTGTAATGTGTTTTTTATCGTACTTGCTGCAAAAACAATATATTATTAGTTAATCTGTTAGAATTATTCTATTTCTTATTTATTTAGTCCATTAAATAGAGACCTTTTTTTCATCACAATTTCTCACAGTATAAGGTGTTATAATGATTTGTCCATCCAGCATTTTAAACTCAAATACATTTATACCAAAATGATGTATAACAGATTGCACATTCTCACATTGGAGGTCAGTGAAAAAACCGACTAAACTGACAAAAGAAAAACTAAAACTGGTTGTTTTAGCTCTGAATTCCATCATGTACGTTTCATATTTGTTATTTGCTGTGCTGTAGAAACGGTGAGGGAGATGGTTTCTTCTCGCCTGCTGCCGGCCTGGTTGCTCCGGGTGGAGGGAAACGTTATTGGTCTGCTCCATAAGCTGGATGTGGAGAACTGTGCCGACACTGCTCTGGAAACACTGAAGGCCATCTTCAAAGGCACTCTGACTGAAGAACTGCCGCAGAACAGAGCGCAGCTCGACAACAGGTACACTCAAACCTCAACTCTGTGGCTTTCATATATTATCACATAGTTACCCAATGTCTGAAGTTGTGCTTACGTGTGTTTTCAACAGGAAGCTGATCCCTGTGGACTCTCTGTCCTGTGAGAATGTGCTTTACTGGAGAGCTCTGTGCGAGTTCCTCAAGGCTCAAGGAGACGACGGTGAGGAAATGCTGGAGCAAGTGTTACCAGACGCTGCCACTTATGCTGACTTCCTCTACCGGTAAGAGAAGAGCATGTCTTCAAACAATATTCAGGTGCCCATATGAAAAAAAAATTCTAATAATTCTTACTACTTTTACGGGGCATTACATTTTTCCCCAATGTTGTTCTAAGTAGGCTTTGCGAGTTTGTGTTTTAAGATACACTTAAAGTTGTGAACTTAAACTTAAAGTGGACCTATCATGCTATATTTGAATAATATAGTGTAGGACCATACCTATATAAGGCATATTTATACTTTTTCTTTTTCAAAATACCAAACAGATCATGCATTTTAGCCATGCCTCATTTTGCTCAATTTGACAATTTCTAGCTCTGTTTTTGCAAGGGCAGATTCAGTGAGAACAGCACCACCTACAGGCCTGGCATATGTACTACAGCGTCTCCAGCGCTTTCGAACGGCAATGGCCGTGGCTGTCTCCTCCTGATTGGTGGAGTTGGCCCAATAGCCGTAGCGCCACCGTCCTGACGTCAGGACAGTGTTCAAATCTGGATCAGTTTTTATCAGATCCGTTGCAGCGCCTTTTTTAGAGATTTGGGTATGGAGGAAAATAGAGAGGGTTGTGTTTTCTGACACTTGGTGAGTTCCCTGGAACACCGGGGACACGTATTCATGTATAAAAGACGTACAAAAGTGCATTTTGCATGATAGGTCCCCTTTAAGTAAAGTATCAAGTAGTGAATATTAGGGCTGTGCAATTAATCGTATATTAATCTTGATTACGATTTTGGCTTGCAACGATTACGAAAACAACGTAAGCGAAATAAAACGATTATATTATATATTTAATTTTTAATTTTAAAATTTTTTATTGTGTTTTCAGTTGAATTATACTTAAAGTTCAGGGTAATCAACTGTTAAAAACATACTGTTCACATTATTGACCAAAATAATCGTGATTATGATTTTTGCCGTAATCGAGCAGCCCTAGAGAATGTAGTTACTTTTTGATGCTCAGGACAGAACACCTAACACAGTTTGCTCATGTTGTTGCTCAGGTATCTGAAGGCCGGTCCAGAGGAGCTCTTTCTGTATGTAACTGTGTGGCAAACTTGTTGCTTATTTTCATCTTAACATGACTAGTTATTTTAAAGTGTGGTATTTATATAAAAACATACAATCCCAGTAAAACAAGCACTACAACACAATACATGACCTTTTAATACATCACAGAATGTCTTCCACATTTGTTTATAGTTTAAATCCCAGCTCTCAAATTTCCTTTCGATGCACCAATGTTGTAACACTCTGCTGTTTTACCACCTGCCTAATAACTGGGATGCTAATGCGTGAAATGCTGCAAAATGACATTTGCTGGTGTGCTTAACCTTTATCTGCACAAAATAAATGTGTTTTTAATTTCGTGACCAGGTTTGTAAAGATCTCTCAGGTGCTGTCTTAAAGCAGATAGACCGTGTGTTGCTGCAGCTTGTAGGTAGTGCTGCTACAATGTTGCAGTATTGCAATTCATATTATTGTGGTGTTTACTCTGTGATGTATAATGTTGGTTCTGGTAATCAACAACAGCAAAATCCAATATAAGTTGTAAACCTCCTGAACATGCCTGTTGCAGATATCTGAAGGTGGTGCCTCTACTGACGGAGGAACAGAGGGCCGACTTTAACCAGTTGGAGCTCGTCATGACCAAGGAGTTCATCTCCCAACAGCTCATCCATCTCATCGGCTGTCTGGACACCAACGAGGAGGGCGGCAGGTAAGAAGAGGAACAAACTTGGGAGTGAAAAGAAATATCAGAATTTGAAAGAGTTTGTTGTTCAGCCCTTTTTTTGTTCTGCCTTAATAATGTCCAGTTGGCCAAAATGTATCATGAGCTTGTTAAGTTGTTGTCTGACATGTTGAATGTTTTTGCAGGAAGCGCGTGTTGTCGGTCCTGCAGGAGATGTTGGTTCTGCCTCAGACTCCCTCCTCCCTGGTCTCCCTTCTCACTGAGAAACTCCTCACCCTCATACCCGATGACCACAGACGCATACAGACTGTAAGTTACATTTTTCTATCATTATTCAATCCTAGGTGTACTTCTTATTCAACTGAAGAACTCATTAGGCAGACCTTATACAAGATTATTTATCAACATTTGCTAGGGGATGCACTTTGAGGCGGAAGGGGCGGATTATTGTTCTGATGGAAGCAAGAATTAAACCGTTACTAAAGGTCTTCTGCTTGAGATTAAACCAAATGAAAGGGGTTTTTTTTTGTTTTTGTGTTGGGATCATTACCACTGAGGTATGTGTCATAATGTGAGCTGGCTTTGTGTTCCACAGCTGGCAGAAATCATCTCCGATGTGAGGGAGCCCATCATGGAGGCCAGCGCGCCGATGGACGAGAACATGAGCCGCCGGCATCAGGTCCAGGTGGGCAACACCCCCAGCCCCCAGGAGCAATTACATTCAGTAATCCTCTCCAAACACCCCACTGTTTTTTGGATGGATGAAAGCACCACATGTTGGCACATCTCTTCTTGTATTTGTTCAAAGGTTCAAAAAGCTACAGAAAGATGAATTTGCTTCACAAGATTTTCTTTATTATGGATAAACCAATTAACTATATGAAAGGTTTACAACTTCTGGAATTGAGAGGAATAACATACTAGACCTTTGTTATTTCTATGTCTTCTCTTCTGTGCTCTGTATACACTCCCTCTCTTTCTGTTTGTCCATCCCTCTGCACCACCAGCTGGCAGATGGTTTGTATTTGGAGGGAAAGCATGTTTTAAGTGAGGTGGAAAGGGCATAATCATGTACGCCAATCTGGTCTTTCCCTTTGCAGGTCCAGTCATTTCCCCCTTTTTAATATCAGTGTTCTTTGTTTGTCTTATTTCCTCATTTAAAGGAATGCTTCAACCAACAACAAAAAATGTATATATCAATTTCTCACAACATCTTGAATTCTTCTTGTATGCCTCCACGTGAACAAAGAATCAAAAAGCCCCTCTTGAGGAAGTAAACGGGGCCATTTTTCCATTCGCACACAACTCTTGCAAAATATATATACGTGTCATTTATCCAGATGTAAGCTTACTACTTCCTAAACGCATTTTATTTAAAACCTTCCAATTTACAGGTTATTAGATTTGCCAGAATAAACCCCAGCCTTTACTTGTTTTTATCTAAATTTGAGTTTAGGGGGCATGCTAGAAAAACAACCTTTTATTCAAGAATTGAAGGTAACACAAGGTCGAGTAATTGATCTACAAATGGTCATTGTGTGGGGGAAGTATCTCCTGAAGCTCAGTGAGAGTCTGTGGTTAACTATGTGCACAAATACTCACAGAGGGATTGCTCACAACCATCAATACATCTCACCTCTCCATCTTTCAACATGCACTTAAGTAGATCATATCTCCGAGACCAAACAGCTGCTAAGGAAGTTAATCCTTGCCCCAGGTGTTTAACTTCCATCCCTTCTATGCACCTGCTCCCCTTTTCAGTCAGTAAAGGCAAAGTAGGCTCTAGAGGGTCTTCACCTGGCCCAGAGCCCCAGGTGGTGTTGTTGTTGTTTCTCCTGTAAACGGAGGTGCCGTTGCCCTTCTCAACAGTCAGGAATCCTCCGGAGTGTATTTCAGCTGAGGAATGACTCTCTCCTCTTCTGTTCTTCTCCCCTCCCCCAGCTAGCAGAGGTGAAGGTGAGCATCATGGAGGCCAAACAAACTCTGGAGGACTCTGTCGCCGCCCAGGACTTCAGCCGCGCTGCAGAGCTGAAGGACTCCATCGCAGAGCTGGACAACCGCAGGAACCAGATCCTCCAGGAAGTCCAGGAGATCAGCCAGCCGGCCGACAAGGAGATCCGCGAGAAGGTATGCGACATGTCATAAATAATATTTACCCCGTAAACTTTAGATTTTCCTCCTGATGTATATGGGAAACCGACTTAATGCTTATTGGTTTCCTGTTTTTCAGAATGACCCCGAGACTCTCCTGAGGTGTCTCACAATGTGTGCAGAGCTGCTGAAGCAGATGGGCATCAAGACAAGGATTGGTCCAACCATAAGCGCCTTAATGTCCTCCCTGGTACAAACCCACACTAAACACATCATCTTATTTCCACTAAAGTTTCTGTTAATGTACAGATCAAAAGAAATGAAATCAACAGTATCACAACAAAGTTACCTACCATAGATTCGTTTAGCATTTATGGCGTGCCAACCTGTCAGTAGTGTTTTGTTTTTGTTGTGCAGCTAAAAGCATTGTGTATATTTGTTGCCGCTCTTATTTAGCTGTCTATGTTCCGAACAACAACCTGAGAGTTGACATATGCTGCACGAAACCAAATATTTTTTTATTAAATCTGGGAATGATGCAGAATGTGCGAATGTTTAGATTAACCAATGTTGTTTCACTGGCATTTCTAAGCTGCATGTAAATGTATGAAGTGAGTAAAAGGGACAATGTTCTCCCTCTCTGTCAGGTTCTGCCTAGTATAGCAAATGCTCACCCGGCTGTCCGTAACATGGCCGTTGTGTGTCTGGGAACATGCACTCTGCACAGCAGGGAGCTGGCCAAAGCCCACATGGTCCTCCTGCTGCAGGTAATTCACCAAACCTCAAACACATCTGTATACAGGCTTCATGTTTAACAGTCCCTTCATGCACATCACAAAGAAACAAGCAAAGCCCTGGTGATGTTTGCCTGTGCAGATAATAAAAATAACTAATATATTTTTGCTCAATGGCGCAAAAAAAAAAGCATGAATACATCCGTTGTGTGTATTTTCAGATTGCTCAGCTGGATGAGGTCAAAATCCGTATCAGCGCTCTGCGGGCGATCGTCGACCTGCTGCTGCTGTTTGGCTTCCAGCTGCTCTCTGAGACAGCTGCCAATCTGACGGCCCTAAACTCCAAATCCCCAGACCGGCGGGAAGAGGACGCCCCGGCGGCGGAGGAGAAGGGAGACGCTCCAGAGGACACGGCTCAGAGTATCCTCGTGATGCTCTCAGAGTTCCTGGACAGTGAGGTGAGATTGAGGGCGTAATATCTACCTAATAATTAGAAGTGTGTGTGTCTAGTTTCAGTGGAAGAAGAGCGTTCTTGAAATATCTGTGTTTTTCAGGTGTCTGGCCTGCGTACAGAGACGGCAGAGAGTCTCGCCAAACTCATGTACACCGGCCGTATATCCAGTGCCAAGATGTTCTCCCGTCTGGTGCTGCTCTGGTACAATCCCGTCACCGAGGACGACACCCGGCTGCGGCACTGCCTCGGCGTCTTCTTCCAGCTCTACGCCCGCGAGAGCAGGTCACACATGCACTCACACACAAGCAGACCATCTTTTTTGTTGCACTAGCTACACATTTGTCTCATGTTTACATGTGCAAGATAAATTAAATATATGAAATGACGTGTGGCGGGATAGCAAGCTGGCTATAATAACTGATTACACGCCTAGGAATGCAATATAAATGAATATAGATTGTTTCTTCTGTATCAGGGCCCACCAGGAGGTCGTGGAGGAGGGTTTCCTGCCCACGGTCCGGACCCTGATGAATGCCCCCGCCACCTCTCCGCTGGCTGAGGTGGACGTTAACAATGTGGTGGAGCTGCTCGTCGAGCTCACCCGTCCCAGTGCACTTATCAAGCCCTCGACCAACACAGAGGTGAGAAACCTGCTTTGTTACTTATTAAAGGTGGGGTATGTCATTTATTTCAGAAACACTTTTTGTTATATTCCATGGAATGCTCTTAACATCCCGATAGCAATGAATATATTAAATGCTTTGACAATAAATCCATTAAAAAAATTCATCTGTGGAAGCCGTAGTACTGTAAAAAGCACGATCTATCATTTTAGCCGGCCCGGCTAAAATAACTGGATGGCCTACCTGCCTGTCAGCCTTCCATCTGTGCACAAACTTATCTCGTGCCCTCATTGGTCATGTGCATGTTCGTGTGTGTTGGAGGAGGGGCTCAGTAAGGAAGTCTGAAGAAGAGGCAGATTTTTTCCGGTTGTGTATTTTCAAATTCTAGCGCACTCGAGCTGGTTTCTCCACAATTACCTACCCCACCTTTAATGTTTGGGATTTCATTGGTCTACTGATCTTTGCATCAGATATTGCTTTCTTCCTCCAAACACAAATCCATTTCTATGACAGATGCAATTGGTTCTCTTACATGCTTCAGTTCACGTTCAAGCATGCAGCTTTAATTCAATATTGTTTAATTGTAAACTACTTCTATAACACTTAATTTGATAGTGGCTCAATGAGTCAAAACACATTTAATGTATTGAGTTCATATCTTATTTAGGAGGTGTGTGTCCATGACTACTTGGCGGTCCGTATTTGCGGGGAGATGTTGAAAGACCCCACTGCGCCTGAGGTGCGTCTCTATACCAAGACTCTAAGCAACCTGGAGCTCAGCGGAGATGGAACTGTCAAGAAAGACCTGCAGACACTTCTGCAGCAGCTCGTACAGGTACACACACACACACACACAGGCACACGCAGCAGTGAGGTTGTACCTGCTAGCATGCTGATGCTCACCATGTATATTTCCACCCCTAAAGGCCTGATTTCTCATGTTTCCTCTTTCCTCCCATCTTTCCTTCAGGAGGTGAAGGATCGTATCTCTCTCCGTGGTCTGGAGAAAATGATCTGTCAGCTTGCGGACTCTAAAGAACAGGCAGAGCTCCTCAGCCCCAACGCATTGCAACCATTAGATGTCAACGCAGACGGTACGCATGCAATCAGTGACAGTCTGTTGGAAAGACAACCTGACATCCAGCTGAGCATCCGTAACAAATGTTGCCTTCTCAGTGCCTAACTTCATTTACACTACACACACGTGTGACAAATCCTCCTGTTAATGGATTATGTCTCATTACCAGAAACTTGCCAAGTGGATTTATGTGCCTGCACATCCCATTCGGTGTCTGTCAAGACTAGACTAGCACAGAGGAGCAGCAAAACATCAGTTTTCTGTCTATCTTTCCACAGAGGCCGCAGCAGACGATCCATCTAAATGTGCCAAGAGAGCCAAAAGAGGAACTGCAGGTACTGTATACTCATCTAAAACTGCAGTTGTTCATAGTGCCACTCTATTTTTAGAGCTCTTCTTGTCTACCTGACTCAAGGTGTTGACTCAGCACTGTTAGGTAACGTGTGTGTGTGTGTGTTGTGTGTACAGGTCAGAGGAAAGTCTGCGCAGCCAGATCGGGCAGGAAGCCGAGCAGGAGGGCAGAGTCATCAGAGGAGAGGTGAGTGTTCAGTTGACTGTCGGCACCTATACCTAGTTTGATACCATCGCTTTATTTTCAAAAACTCATATTCATCTGCTCTTTTTTTTTGCTTTGGACAGCGATGGCGAAAATGTTCCAGAGTCAGTTCCTCAACGGCGACCCTCCCGGAGGGCCAAGACTGCAGCTCTGGAGAAAACAAAGCTGGACCTAAACACGCTCATCAATCAGGAGGCCAATGTGTCGTAGAAGGCAGTTGATGCAAAGATGGAAATAAAATGGTGCGGTTTCAGTGTTGTTCAAGTACAGCCGTCTAATATACAGAGCTTTAAGTTCATATAATACTTTCATCACATTATCGTACTCGTTCTTTTGTCAAATGTAGTGAAAGTAACTGAGACTTCTCTGATTTAGAGCCTTTACAATGTTACAACATTGTAAAGGCTCTAAATCAGAGAGAAGTCTTTATATGTTGTCATAGTTCCTTTTTAATCTGTGTGTTTCTTATTTTCAACTTTTATCATTTTAATCATTAAAGTGAAATACATGTCAATAAAACTGGTCCTCTTTTCATTATCCCAACACCAGATCAGTGGTGCCAAACATTGTAAGTGTGTGGATTATGTCACACCAAGAATCAGTTTCACACTATAAAAAAAACGAGAGCATAATTATATAATAAACTGAAAATGAGGATACTTTATAATATTATATAATTAAAGCATGTGAGCTTATATAATATGTAATCAGCACTATGACATGTTAAATTAAGCATTACATGAACAATAGCTTTCAAATAATTTCATATTAACATACTGCAGGTGCTTCTGTCTCTACCATGAAGTCGGTTTTTTTTATTTTTAAATAATGTATGCGGTGTAAAAACTGTAACAACCCTAGGTGTGAGCACTTCAAGTGAGTGCTCCTTCGATGAGAAGAGGTGAAAATACAGCTTTTGAAATGAGCACTAGCCAAATGCTGGTGAAATATGCAAGGGGCTGATAAGACTTTCCAGACAAAAATAATAATGGTTTTCTGTTGAGTCGCACGATTTTTTAACCATTTCATATTACATTGAAATCTTCAGGTTGGGAAATGGCAATTGCAGCTTTTTGCCAATGAAGAAAAAGATCAAAAGCAAATTCCTTAGATAATCCTGAATGTCATCTTTCTCAGTACCGGTGTCGAGCACTCCACTCTACAATAATATTTCTCACTGGTTATTTTTAGAAAGACTCTTTATTATTCCGATCACAGACACCTCTTTGTTGCATCTGTAATGGGCAGTATAAAAACACATGATAAAGAAAATATACAACAGATGTTTAGCACCAGGTTCTTCAACAGAGCACTGATCACAAGACTGGGCCATCCCTCGTGTTGAGAGGGCAACCAGACGCACATACAAGGATAGTCAGACACAACACACACACACTACAGGTTTAAGCTTTGACCTACAGCCAGACATCTTGGATCTACCTGCGCTCTTAACACCATAATGATCCAAGATTAGTGTTAACAGATCATCAATCTGGCCATGTCCACCACTCAGTTGATAAGCAAAATAGTCTTAGCTGAGCACCAGTGGAGGTAGGCGTCTCTTGCTGCAAACACAGAAACTCAAGAGAAAACGCAACAGCAACACATATTCCACCTGCATTTAACAGTAAATAATGCTAGTACATTTATGATAAACAATTTAATGCTATTATAACAATTAAGGATCTGTTATTTTTCGGCTTCATGAGGAGAACAAAGCAGGTGGGAGAAAAAATAAAGTATGTAATATCCTCTAAAATCACATTACATGGCTATGTAACTGAAGTAACATCCCAGGCCACTGGTAATTGTGTACATCCATTCATCTGTCAGCAATAAAATAATTACTACATATTGATAAATCATCTGGGTTTGTATTGCACCAAATAGATCCTCTAGTTTACAGTAGGGTTTGGCAGTGGGACACAGGATGTGCAAAATATCGGGGAGGAATCTGTGTAGTGGGGTTAATAATCTCAGATGAAATAGTGCAAGGAGTAGATCCGACACTAACATACAGTATCTGCTTTGGGTGAAAACAAGATGACATTCACATAAAGATAACTGAATAAAACAAGACGGATCCCACAAACCAACAAATGAATAAGAATCTACCTTCTTTCCCTCTAAAACGGCATCACTTCTAAATCTCTTCACATATGACTACATTGTGTGGGGCTGTATATTTAGATTAATGGCCGTTTGTGGCTTAGACTTGCAGATATTGTTTTAAATAAACTCAAAAAGGAAATAGTGACATTGGTTAAAGTACACGTGGATCGCCAATTACTGTAGTTAAATACACAATGTCATAGTTGGAGCCCATTTAGAGAATGATTGGGTTAAAAATGGGGCTTCTTTAAAGAGATAAAGAGTCCTTCATTCACACTACATTTTGGCTACTGGCTTGCAATACAACAGCGACAAACAAATATATTGCAAACAGGGCTCGGATTAGGAAAATAAAATTAGTTTTCAACATACGTTTACCAAAATCTAAAAAACGTATTATATTAAATTAGCATTTTATTTTAACAGTGCCAAAGTAAGGGTGACTATAAATACAATTAAATTAATTTTGGGGGGGGGTTTTAGGGCTGTACATTCGTAAGGGCATTGTCTCTAGAATAAGTGGTGGCCTTGATAATGAGGTATGTTTTGGGGGAGATGGCACTATCGTAATGATCTCAAGCCTTTCCTTTAATTACAGCTACTCTGACATGGCTCACTGTTTTAAGCACATATCCCCAAAAACTCTCTTCACCGTAATGATTTGATCTACTATACGCGCTCAGAAAGAAAAATGCAATAAAAAAAAATTAACATTTCTGTACATATCCATAGATAAAAATAGTGCAACATCAAGCTTTTGTTAAGTTAGACTGCTACATAATTGCTGAGTGTAAGACTGAACCATAGCGGGATTGGTCAGTCCTTGTGGTCAGCTCAATGTCCAAAGGCACCACGTTAAGCAACAGTCCCTTCCCCAGGTCGGAGGAGGCATCATGCTTCAATTAGTTTTCTGTCAGAGAAGAGAAATGGGAAAAATTGATATAGTAACTCAAAATTGAAAATACAATTTTAATAAAATAAGCAAGGTAGTTACCAAAAACAAAGTCGCACCATCTCGGCCCGGTAAGGCCTCTCACTCGCGATTGTCTCAATATTTTCGCTGGTGGTGGTTGCGGTGGTTCAGTAGAAGCAACCAAAGGACTTTTGTATTTGCCATTCCTCCTCCTCTCTGGCACCTCATCCTGCACCTGGACTGATTTCGGTGCAGAACCTGCTTGCTCTCTTGAGATGGTACTCCTTTTTCTTTCAGTTTTCACAGCTTTAACAACTCCTACAAGTTCTTTCTTCCTTCCTGCTAAGAGGTATGCCGAAGGTGACCCATCATCCAGTGTCACAGTACAGGAGTCCCACTCTTCCTCAGTTGATTCATTGTCCGGAGAGTTAATCTTCCTCAGAAACACTCTGCATTCCTTCAGTGTCTCAGGACTCCAGGCTTTGGAGCAGATGTTGTGCTCTTTAGGTACATCCGCAGGCTCCTGAGTTTGGTTAACAGAACTGTTTTCCAAACAGTCAGATAACTGACCTCTTGCTGATCTACGTAATGCTTTACGTTTTGGTAGTAGTCCAGTTACTTTCTGTCCATTTGAACGTGTAGCTACATTTATGTTTTTCTTATTCCTGTGCTTCTTTTGACATCTCTCCCTTTCTTTTCGGGTTAGGAACTTTATCTTTGCTCTAAATAGAGTGGTCTGATATTTGCCAAATGATCTGCTTCTCCACCATTGGGCTCTTTGATTGAGCCGACCTGTGGCAAAAAGTTGTCGCCTTATTTTCTCATTTCTCTTCCTCAATCTCCTTTGAGCTTGTTGATGTTGCAAAGGACTTTTTGGCACAGTTTTGGCGAATTTCTTGATGTGTTTGCGCAGTCGCTGGGCCTGAGGACTGGTGCAAACACTCGCTTTATTGATAGTACGAGGAAAATGCATCAGTTCGTAAGAATTACGTGAGCTTGCCTTCTTGACAATAGAAAGGGACTGTGTCTCTGTGGTTTTCATAAACCAGGAGCAGACCTGCTGCATACTACAGGACCTTGGTTCTTCAGGAGGACAGTCAAACAGGGTTCGTACCACAGAGGAATGTTTGGACCTCCTGGCAAATGAACTCTTGCCTTGTTTCGATTTAAAAGCAGTCTCTTTTACTTGGTTCTCCCCAGTGTTTGAGACCCAAGTGTCAGAGATGACTCGTATTCGCCTGGCAAGCTCCTCACTCATAGTCTTTTCTTCTGCTGATGGTGTCCACCACCTTAGCGTCTCCCTTGGGGTAAAGATTGAATCGACAGATACTCCGGCCACTCTGCCAAGGTCCTGAGATATGTGATTCTTCTCTTGTTCACAGGGCCGTCTTCTCTCCCTTAAAGTCTCCACACTACTCTGTTGCTCCCCCTGTCTCCTTTCGTTGCTGGCCTTGTTTAGCAGAAGTTGTTTGGAGCGCCGTAGCAGAGCATTGCTGTGGCTGTATGATCTAGAGGTGGAGGTGGCAACAGCGTGCAGAAAGTGGATTGAAGGCTTTCTCACTCTCATTGAGTGACGCACTGCAACAGGCTGCTTTGGCAATTTGTCTTTATTTTCATCCTCTATTTCAATCCCTTCTACAATTTGACTGATTTTGCTGGATGACTGTCGACTGATTGTCCGGGGCTCATTGGCAGATTTGAATTCTGGTAGGAGTACTTTCTTAGGAATTAGTGTTTCAGGAGACTGCCGAGTATCCTTATTTATCAGAATTTTACGCTGACGAGGAGACACTGTAGTTACTGTGACTGAGATTCCAGAGATTTTAACTTTTGCAGGTCTACCTGGTTTCCTTGAGGGTGCAGAGTCATCCCGTTTCTGACATTTGATGGTACTGCTAGATTGAGGACTGACAAAACTTAATTCATCTGACAATTCTGATGATGCTCTTTTGATGCTACTTGAATTGGTCTCAGAGTTGTGCACTAAAATACTCAAATCACTTTTAAGGCCAACTGCTTCACAAGCATCATGGAATTCAGTTTGCAGCTGGTCAAATCCCTCGGCCACGGTTCGTTTGTTTCTCCTAGAACGGCCAAACACGACTGTTATTTTTAAGTTCTTGTTTACATTTTCCTCAGCCTCGTATGCTGTAAAAGATTTTCCATTTACTGTTTTTTCCCCCAGTACTGAATCCACAGCCTTCTCCTTGCGTGGTCGACCGATTGGCCTCTTTGCCTTTTGCTCAAGTTGTGGCCCCAGCTTCTTTGGCCGGCCTGGACGCCTTTTTGGAGTGGTTTCATGGAAAGACATTGAGCCACCTGGTGATCTCTGGCTTTCAGCTACATCCACATGCTTAGTCGGAGTACCTTCGCCTGATCGTCTGGAACCTATTTTAGGTGATGATGAAGCAGACTTGGGTGAAGATGCTGACTTGAGTGGTGAAGAACCAGACTTGGATGGTGAAGAAGCTGACTTGGGTGAAGACGCTGACTTGGTTGGTGAAGAACCAGACTTGGCTGGTGAAGAAGCAGACTTGGGGGAAGATGACGACTTCGGTGATAAAGAAGCTAACCTGGATGAAGAAAAGGACTTGGCTGGTGAAGGACCTGACCTAAGTGTTGATGAAGCAGATTTTGCAGGAGAAGTTGTCTGACTTTTTGTTCCTGACCATGAAGACTCTATACAGGGGTCAAAGTGTTCCTGTTCACTAGAACCAGAATATGCAGATTTAAGACTATATCTGACCCCTTCCTTATCCTTTACTGGTGATACAAACATAAGCTTTATTGGACTAGTGTACTGGACTTGGGAGTTGGGAGGGCTTTCAACACAGGTAGCAGACTTCATTGGGACATCCATATTTGATGGGTTTTGGAGAGTGCTTGAAGCTGTCTTTGAGTACTGTATTCTTTTTGGAGATGACCGCAGCCTTCTAAAAAGCTTGTCATCAGAGTTGCTGCCATCTGTTTCATTGTCCATGCTTTGTTTTGTTTGACTCTTTGCTTTGGCAGCCACCTGTGGAGTCACCTGATTTGTGGAAAAACCTTTGTAGGATGTTTCACACTCATCTCTCTCTGGCGATTGAGATGAGGACAAAAGGGCTTCCCTTATTGATTCCAGTTTAGAGCCCTCAGCGTCTGGAACTTTGGATAAGGCATCTACTGTGCTAGATGTCGAAACGTTGTCCATTTCAGTTTCCTGGTTGGAGGTGTTTTCAGAGAAACATGAAACATAAAACATCTTCCTGGGCTCTGTGACATAAGAGGAGAAACGCTGTGGAGGCACTATATGTCTCCTGGTTCGCCCTGAGTCCTTGGAGTGGTGTGACGGACCTTTCTGCCTATTTCCATTTGGATTATGGTAATCTTTACCTATGCCTCGTCTATTGTCACCATCAGTGCTTTGACCTGAGGACGCTTCGTTATCACTGTTCATTTCCTTTACAGCATCAGTACCCATACCATCGGGCCTGCTGCACCGTTTTGCAGAGGTTGCAGTCATTGCCATCTTCTTTGTCTGTACACTGTCCCCCTTCAAGCCTTGTATGCCAAATGTACTCTGTAGCTCAGGGGTAGGTAAAGTGCCTGAGTGGGTAAGATCTTTTCCCCCAAAGGATATTTCCCTTTCTTTCTCCACTGCTTTAATGATCTGAACTCCTTCTGTTACTATATATGCTTTTATCTCCTCTTTTATTCCATTGTCACTTTTTGCAATGATAATGTTCAGTGGTCCCTCCCTAAAACGATGGTTCTCTGCAGGTTCAACACCTAGCTCCATTTCGTTTTGAGAATCCTCTTGAACTAGGTTTGAATCTGATAAAGTGTGTAATGTATTTGCAGCAACATTTCCATCATTCAATCTTTGCCTCTTTGCTTGTCGCGCCTTCCTTCTACTGTAAGACCGGTCAAACAGTGCAAGCTCTCGTTTAATTTTTAAGGTTTGCCTTCTGGTTGAAGAATCATCAGCAGGTGTTGCTATAGCAGCAAGGACTTCTTGGCGTCGTCGTGAGCGAGTATTCGGTGACTTGGGCTCTTTGCTGTCATGGCGATTGAACAGCTCACTGAGATTGTAGTCACTAGCACTGCCTGTGTGAAGCACTGTTGTGATAATTTCAGTCAAATGGGCATCAGCCTGAAACTGCAGGTTCTGACTTGTCGAGGGACACTGTGGCCGCTCCTTTTTAGAGACATTAACGGCTGTGAATACCAGAGGTATATCCTTCTCTATAGGTCCGATTGTCTCCAGTTTCTCACTGAACCGATTCACAACATCTTGCAGTGAAGTCCCACTTGGGTTTTGCTCAGAATGTATACTGCTTGGGGTGCTACAGTGTCGCTCCATTTCTGTAGCTGTATCCACACCTGCTTCCTGTTGGCGTTCATTCACCATGCCATCTTTAACAATTAGGTCAGTTTCCTTCTCTTGTCTATGGTGAAGAAGAGAGGGTGGCTTTTCATCAGCTTTTGTATCCATGTCTGAGGGCATAGGGGACAGTGGAGGAGGAGAGGGGCTCTGCTCTCTCTTCAGGACAGGACAAGGAGGATCTCCATCTCCCATCCCTTTTTCTATTGAGTTCCTGACCTGCGTCAGACAGGCATGGTTTGAATAGCAGGGACAAGAGTGGGGGTTGTGTTGGTTACAGCAAATCGATGAAGAAGGGCATACACTAGAGGAGGGAGTGCAAACTGAAGGGGATTGGGATAACGAAGGAGAGGATGTAAATGAACACACTAGGTTGTTTATATGACCTACAGCCAGGCTTTGGCCGGAAATGCAGTGCAGCCTCTTGGGGCACATAGCGGTGTAGGTTTCCCTCCTGCACCTCTGCACACAGCTGTAGCTTGAGCCAGGAGGAGTGTCACTTTTACAGTCTGTTAAAGAGAAGTGATGGATGTTACATTTGGACTTGGAGTCTCCTGGATGATACATTGCGCTGCCAAGATCTTGATGATCAAAGTCAATTGAGGGGCAGAATAAGTTGCTGTTATGGGCTTTACATTCACTAAATGGGACTGCATTAGGGGTAACAATATCCTGTTGGCTTACACCACAGTAAGAGGAGTGAGATTCTGTTTGACCTTCAGCTCTGTGATTAAGAAACAACAGCATTTTTTCCTGGCATGCCAGCTTCAGGATGTGGTAGAGTAAGGAACGATGTGCTGCGCAGAGCAAGCTGAGAACAGCACCTAACGCAGAGCTCTGACGGAGCCGAGTCCCTCGCTGTCCCAGATCTCCCAATTCTTCCTTTAATGACGACAACAGGAAGCTAAAGACAAAAATAAAAAGAATGGAGTTTTACTCATAGCGAAGCACAGTTGAATATGACAAACATTAAAAAAGTACTCGAGGTGTCCGACACATTTTTATATTAAAATATTGTGTTAATTAATCATGCCTGGTAGATGGTTTCCACTTCCTCCATTAGTGAATATTCTGTTATCTTGCACCTTGTTAAATGACGCAAACATTTTCAGAGATCTACAACCATTCACACAACTCCAAATGTCTCCATGCATACATATGATGTGCAATGTTATTGTTCTCTTATTAATTACTCTTGCATGCTTTTTCCTATTGCTGTATTATAGAAGAGATAACAAACATGTTTACACCAACACATTTGGCTTTTGCTGCATACGCAAACACTTTAATGTGAATAAGATCTCAACTGGATTACAAAGTTCTGGTTGAACAAACTGACTTTTTCTAGCAGACATGCAAAATAATTTATTTAAACACTAAGTAAAACAACCATTTTCCTTGTAAACTGTTGATGATCCACAAACCACTTTTTTTTAGAAAAATAATGACAGGCGATTGATTAGAGAATTGTTTTATTGATGAGTTGCTGAAGGCAAAAGATAACATTCTGCTAGAGCAGAAGGAACGATTGTAGAACGCTTAAACAAATTGTTTTTTTAACAGCACTTCCAACAACAAAACTAAAAAAATCTAATGTTCAAATCAACTAACATTTAAATCAGGTACAGTGAGTGATTTATTTCACTTCTTAACTAACTGATTTTAATATATTATTTTAAATGTTCATCTGTTTTTAATTGGATAGTATTTCCAACACTTCAAGTGCTGTTTAAGTACAGTCCTTGTCAGGGTTTTGTTGGACTGGATGCACTATAAGAGTATTACATTATGTCATGTGACTGTTGAGTTTTTTTTTTAAATCACTTAAATAATGTAATCTTAACATAAGCACTAAACAACCACAATAGTCAAGGGTGTCTTTTTAGGATCAAATAAATGATATGGGCTAACATTTAAAGCGTCCATGCAGAAATACACATTTCACATTGCATCAAAGTGCCCAATTACAAATAAATTACTACAACAATCAAGCTAGTAAAATCACAGTTCTGAAGCACAATCATAAATAAGTATGCAGCAACATCAACAGAAGGTTTCTACAATAAAAATGCTGCTTATAAATCATAGTGCAATAGTTGATTTATGCATACATAGCGGATATCTGTCATTCAAAAGATTTGCCAGTAGTCAAAAACAATAAATGCAAATTAATCTCAAGTTGAAAACAAGCACCAGTGTGTTCTAAGAATAAACTGTAATTAAACACATACAATGATTACTTGTAAATTCTAAGAGGTGTTTAGGCTTGTTAAAAAACAGGCCGTTTGATCAAAATAGCAGATCATTCCCAGAGTAGACACATCATGCTGCGGCCCCAGACACAGGCATTGTGTACTGTAAAAAGCGGAGACATTCAGGAGCGGAGACATCAGTAGTTGTATAGTTGCTTAAGTTACAACGATTGAAATGCCTATCAATCTGACCAAAAGGCTTAAAAAATGAAATACTTGTACGATTACCATTTAAATAACAAATACAAATATAACCAACAAGGACAAAAACTTGCACCAAGTTTATCTGCAAGCTAAAAACATGGCATATCTCCTGTATGCCACAGGGTCGAATTAAAACCATTAAAAAAAACGATTATTTCACAACAAAACGGCTGAAGAACCCTACAATAATTAAAACAATTACTTGAAGGAGTTTAAATGTTGTTGATGGCAATACATTTACACCCTTGTGTTGTTCCTTGAGAGACAAACTGCTCAGACGTGTTTGTAAGCTAACAAGAGCTCATACCCCAGCAGATTCAGTATCGTATCACAGAGTCCTTGACGTGAAACCTGACACTGGGATATAGGCAGATACAATTCAGAGGTATATATGTGGCAACGAGGTTAGAGAGAGAGAGAGACAGGCAGACTGACATCGCAGCAAAAATAAAATCAAAGCAGCTTTGTGTGGGTAACCCTGAACTGCTGCTTTGGAAGTAGCACTGTTAATGGAAATATGCCCATTTCAGAGGCAGACACAAGCATCGACGCAACATTTAGCATTTCCCCAGACACAAACAAAAAAGCCTTACACTGAATCAAGTCATTGTCAAAACTACTGTAACCTCCAGTAGCCTACACAATCAACCATCAAAAACATTAAACCCTATACATGCACCTAATCTCATGTAAGTTACACACAATGCATTGAAATAAGTTAAATTAAGCTTCTTTGTTGTAGCTACGCCTCTTTGTGCCAGGGAAACAATCCAGTAGTTAAGTTTTAAGCAGCAGTCATGAATGAGGTTTACATTAATACAGCTACAGTAGCAGAATTAGTAAATATATGAGATGATAAAACATCTTTTACAAAAGGTACACATACACAATAACATACATTTCCCAAGCTTATCAGTGCACATTGAAAACATGCTGCACAGTTGCATTCCAACTACACTCAATACAATGTTCAGACTAGTTTGCACAAATAGAAAGGAGAATTATGAGGACACAAAATGGCTTTCATAAACTAATCTCTTCAACAAAAACTCAGTGAAGATGCAGCGACCACAGCAGTTTATACTGTACAATCTCCCTGTTTGTAGAGGTCTCTAAAAACAGCAATGAGTTTTCAATCTGTTATAATGGCTCTAAGTCACTTCAGTAGCCCAGGTAAAATACCCAGAGAGAGATAGAAGGCTGTAAATGACAATCATCAACGCTCCTTTAAGAAGGAGCTTTAAGAATAGAATCAAACCTGAATAACCTAATAGCTAGCAAACGTGATAGTCATACTTTATTTGATAGCTCTTAGAGGTCCACAACTGTATTTATCATACTTAATCCTGGGCAATCTAGTGAAAAACAATCACTGTCAGTTTTTCTCCTTGTTGAAAGAAACTAATCCAATAGACATAAAAACAAGACCAAAACCAACTGATTGATCATTGTAGCGAGTGAGTAGTGTTATAATGCACAAGCTCTGTGCATTACAACATTTTGTTTAAAAAATGGCTTTGTCTTCAAAATATAAAGGGCACCTGTAACACACCGGATGATAAGATTAATTGTAAAAGTAGTGGACAAATGCAGAAAAGTTTCTGTTATACCCGACTACAGTTTAAGACAAAGTTTATGGAACATTTGACACAAGCCATATCTTTTAAGATCTTTTAGGTTTAGTGATATAGAAAAGAAATTAAGCTACGAGGAGTTTTGCTGAACCAAAGTCGCACGACGGCCTCATAAACGCTTGTAGCTCCACTAAACAAAGCCCAGGAAAAAGCTAGAAATACAGCGAAAAGTATGACTATCACATAACAGACACATAGTTAAAAGACCTGAATATCGATATCCATATACTTTGTAAAAGGCATGTGTTGTATTTAAACAAGTGTCTCCAGAAAACATGTATCTTGTCAGAGGTGATGAGTTCAAGTGTTGAGGAGTTCTAGAGGCGTTATGTGTTCTAGAACATCTTTGCGTCAGCAGCTGAGGCAAGAGTCCCTGAGTTAGTGGAACCCGTCATGGTTCCAGAACCAGACGAGTTGGAATTGGATGAACAAAATATGGCAGATTTCTTCTTGGGCGGGTTCTTCAGAGTTCCAGTGCGCTCTTTGACTTTGTACTCCAGTGTGCTATGGGGCACCCCGTAAATCCCCTGGGCCTTGGACACGCTCATGCGACCTCCCATTACCATAGTGATGGCCTCCTCCAACAGATCGAAGTCGTACTGGCGGTATCTTCCACGCTTCTTTCTTGGTTGCTTGTCTTTATCCCTGACCCCGTCTTCTGAGTCATCCAGTGAGGACCCGCGTGGTCCGAGGCGATGAGGTGACTGGTTGGCACTGCCTGGACAGCCATGTGGTAAGAAAGGAGGTCTGAGTTTGAAGAGAGATGAGGGTCTAGCAGTAGCTGTCGATGAACTGGCAGTACCCTCCATTGATGAGGTACGTTGATGCAGGTTTTCAGCCGAGCAGCCATTCTCAGCGGGGACCGCCCTGTTATGGTCAGCTATGGAGCGAACCTGAGGAATACGCAGGGACGTTGGTTGCTCCAGACTGGGAGTGGGGCTTGGTGGAGGCTGGAGAGCATCCCTGAGCTGGGGAAAAGAGTTGGGGAGGGTTTTGTGTTGACCACTTGGCTTATAAAAGGAGAGGGAGGATGAAGGGAAACTAAAGTCGCCATTCTCCTCTGCAGCTCCTCCAATTTCTGCCTGCTCCGCCCACGCCGCCACCTTCTGAAGAACAAGACGAGCTTCGCCGCCAAACATTGATGACATCACATTGTATGATGTAATTTCATCCCTGCTTCCTGGTGCGAGTTGATGAAGCATCCCCAGCCTCCCTTCAGCCAAGCCGTCTAGACCTTGCCTCAGGGTGCGAAGGGGAATCCCATAAAGCAATGCGGCCCGCTGCTCCTGCAGCCTCCCTGAATGTATGTCCTTCAAGGCCTTGGACAGCAACCCCTCAGACAGCTCCAAGCTCCTCTCAATGTACTCCTCCTTCTGCCTTCGCTGCCTCCTAGGGAATGGAGGACCAAACAGCAGGGTCAGGATGGAGGAGATGGAGGGGGTTTGATTTTGGCATAGGGGACAGGGGGAGTGCAGAGCGAGGGGTCCACTCATTTATGTATTGTGTTGGTAACATCACTGCGACTCTTATGTTTCATGTCTGTCTGTTCTCACACACTGCTGCTGTGTGTCTCTTACACACGTCTTGTGTGTGTGGCAAAGCCTCTTCACGTCCAGGTGGGACTGTCTGTGAATGGCTGGGCTTACTTTGGCGCTCACACACAACCCTTGTAGTTTTGTGATATCCTTCAGCGAGAGTCCTACATGCTTGAAGGTTGAATAATCAAACTCATCATAAAAAAGGAGGTAAAATCGTTATGAGGTACTGCAATGTTCTCCTCATTGTGCAATCCTGTTCGCAAATATTATAGTGCCATTGCTGTGACGTTACTGCTCAAAAGATAAAAGAGTCATCCCCATAGAAGTAAAACACAAGACACAAGCTAGCTCTCATAATAACTAACAATGAACAGATATCCTCAAATAGGCCAGAGAGTAGCGCTGTTAAAAACAACAGTAGTACAACACGGTGTTGATGCTAACCTTTCAATTTGAGCCTTGCTGTTCAACTCTATGAAATGACTGGTAATAATGCTGAATTCAGTTACTCACATGCAAAGTCCTACTGGGTTTGGACAAAAATGCTTAGGTCCTGTAATTTAATTATTGTATTAGGGAATAGCCCCCATTTTAAAATAATATTAACGATAGGGTTTCCTTCTGCATTTGCCAGGAGGAGGAATACCACTAAATGTACGAGCCAGAGGCAATTCAAATATAAAAAAAAACTCTTACCCTGAAGCTTTTCCTTTTATTGATGTTGACGAAGCAGAGTTCCTGTTGGAGAGGTCGAGCACGGCATCTGTTACAAGAAGAAATCATGTTAACTGATTAGGGTTTGAGTTACAGAGGTTTCGTACCTTAAGAAAACATCAATGTTACAGTCTTAAAACTTTGCAGGCTGGAAACATTCATTTCCTAATATTTGAAACACCTCTACTACCTGGGTCACTTTCACTTTCTTTCTCGTTTCCAGTTCGGCTCACTGTGAGGTCCAGAGGGGCATCTGATGTTTGTGACAGAGGTGATGAAATCCTTGTTGTAGCACCATCTGTACTGGTGTGTTGTAGGCACTTGGATGCGTACTCCAAGGCAAACTGATGTATCATCTTCTTCATTAGCTCCTGGGCAACCAGAGGGATTTTGAAATCGCAGCCCAGTGCCACATCTAATGAAGAACAGGACATTGAATTCTCTTTAGACTTTTATATCTATTAAGAAAGCAACTAGATAACTACTGTGCGCCTTTGACAGGAGCATGAGTGTATCAGAAGTTAAAATGTGTGTGCCATGCATCAAAAGGCTTACCTTTCTTGTAAAACACAGCATGGAGAAACCTGTGTGCTGATTGGCTGCTCTCAGAGATGTTTGGAGCCTGGCAGGGAGAGTAATCAGAGGGGGAGGAGAGGGGCGAGGTGGCTGCAGGTGCATGATCCTACAAGAAAAAGATACAAGGTTATTTATCCGATTGCTGTATATCTTATTTTTTCCTTCATCTTATATTAAACCATATCATATAAATATGTTCAACAGACAAACACACTAATATTATCTTGACTAGAAAAATACTCACACTGCTGAGTTTGTCGAGGGGAAGGTTGCAGAATGAACATTGAGCGCAATTTGTTTCTAGGGACCAGTCATCTAACTCTTCAGGTTCGCAGTCTGAAAGACACAATTACACATAACCAGGCATTAATACGTAAAGACTTCCAACAGCTTACTTGATTGACAGGAGGTTGTTTCCAAACATCATCATCACACAAATGTATGCCACGGGTGCAATTTAGATTTGAATGGGGCCATAGACGGTTATGAGCAATGTTGCAAATCAAAGAGAAAGACTGCATTGTAACAATATTGGATTGGTTGAAGTAGTTATTTAATAAATTAATGTTTTCTAAATGAAAGTTCCAGAACATTTATTATGATATTAAATATACACACATTTGAATATATATTGTATACAATTCAAAAGCAATGATGAGTAAATATTTGATTTGATTTGCCTTTTGCCCTCAATAAGAGCTGTTACAAGCACACTTTGCTCAGCCCTCTTAAAATATAAAGGCAGGATATGAATGTCCGTCAATCATTTCATCATGACTGCCAGGTCTCTATGACACATCATCAGATTATGTTCCTGTCTAACCTTACTCAGACTCCAGATGGCACTGCTGACTGCATTGAGAGAACAGATTGTGTCAAATGAGCTGTGTCCTTTTTTTGTTGTAAGTGCTGGAGGCCTGTGATGGCAAGCTGCGATATTAAGAGCTGCAGTGAGTAAAGTGGTATATACCCCTGATAGATACAATTAATACATTTGCAAAGATCAGATAATAATGAAATGAGCTGGGATTACATTTGCAAATAATTTAAGATTCTTTTAATTATTGGAATTCATTTATCTTTTCAGTACCTACATTTATGTTAATGTTTTTTTTTTTTTAAACATAACTAAGAATGCTGCATGTTTTTGTTGTTTGTTCTCTATTTTTCTGAATGTTTTGATGACACCTTAAAAAGGAGTAACTCTTCTCTTTTCATTGTACATGTATAATGACAATTAAGACTTATATTCTTTTCTATAAACTGAAAGTGCCAAACAAGAAGTATTATTATGATAACTACTGAGTAGTATATGATGTTTACCTGTTTGCAACTTATACAGAATTGTGTCTGGGTGTGAACCTTGGTTATATAATCAGTTTCATCAATCTAAACACATGTTTTTCAACAATTCTAAAAAGGCGTATGCCCTTGAAAAACAATATTGTACTCTTTAATTTATTTATAATTATTAACTTGAACTAGGAGCAATAAGGGTGCCATGTAGTGTTTAGTCTTGTTTGATACCAAGAGTGTAGCAGTTAGTACACGGTTTACTTTATGATATAGCTGCATTTTCTGTTTATTGCAATTAAAAAAAATAAAACCTATCGCTTTTTTAACTTTTGATTCCCAAGAATGTTCAAAGGCCAAACATCGGCTGGCCTGCAGTCGACATGAAATAATGTAAAGTGATGTGATTACATTATGTTGTCCTGGCAGATTTGGGTCAAACTATATTTTCATAGTTCTACAGATGTTATAGATCAATTAAAATTATAAATGTATCATGAATGAAAATACATCATACTACTCGACTTAACAAGGTTAATCTCATATATTTAAGTTTGGTAAATTTAAGTGGGAAACTTAAATGTAACAAACAATACGGCATTTAGTTAATAATTTACAGGTTGACTAAATACACCATACTTTGTCGCACTGCCATAAATATTCACTAGAGAACCGAATGTTCAAAAATCCTGAAAATATTGCACAAATAAAGCACCATTTACTCCTGTCTAAGTAATGTCTGCTTAAAACTTGATAATAAATATAAAATATGTCTAGGATTACAAAAAGTTAGGACGTTTTTAAATGTACATATAAAAACCCACCATCAAATAAATTGAGGTCCTTCAGCAGCAGTGGGCCATAGATTCCCTCCAGAATGCTTTCAAACCCTGCAAGACAAAATGAACAGAACAGTCGTTCAGTACTGATACGAATAACTTATGCATATTTAAGTTGCCTAACATTATAGTGATATGTGTTCCTCCCATTTTATCCGTGTACTTTACTGGAACAGTGTGACGGCAACAGATCTGACAGATAAGCGGACTACGATACCCAACTGTCAGCAACACATACACACTTGAATAAAGAGTCTAAATATTAACTTGGTAAACTCCAAAGAACAATAAACTAAATTCGTAAATAGTATTAACATTGTTACTTTTATGTTTTTATTGGTGTTCATGCATAACGATTTTGATGTCACTGTGATTGAACATTAGCCTACAAAGCAGATGAAATCCAGCTAGCTTCGGGTGAGCTAGCCTAAAGTGACCGGTTTCTGAAGCATAAAATACGGTGTTTAAAAAAGCAAACGGTGCGAGGAAAACCGTTAGTCGAGACCCCCGTGATGTGTGCTTTTCTATTATTGCACTGACATGAGCAGCTCTACCGTAGCAACCATCCCCTCCCCCAAATAACATCAACAACGTTAATGTTAGCATAGCATGTTAGCAGAACATTAGCATAGCCAACATTATGTCAATAAACTAATTAAGCTTACGGTTTGGCGATCAGTTAATTGCAAAATATGTGTTATGCCTTAATGCTACATGTACAGTATCATCCAAGTCAGATAACACACTTTGACGGAGCTAGCACCGGTGGGTATCAAGCTAGCTCAGGGGGACAAAGAAAAGGAGCCAAACTCGACGGGCTAGCCAGCTGGTAAATATTAGCCTGCCAGCTTAACTTAACGGCTAACGCTGGCCACCTACAGTGCCAGGCTACTAGCTTAGCTAGCACTAGCTAGCAATCTAACATAGCTGTGGGTAGCGATCCAGCAGCTACCGGGCGAAATCACTTTGACGCTGGTTGATTTTTTACAAAATATGCAACTGCAAATTGATCATACCAACGCAGTGTATCAATTTGTGTCGCCAAGAATCAAGTTCCCGCCGAAACCCTCTTCTTTCGGCCGTGCATTTGGAGCACTGCACGTTCGCCATTCTGCGTCCTTCCTCCCCCCTCTCTCTCCCTCCGTCTGAGCCACAGGAGGAAGCGGCTGTGGACGGTTACTGCTGCCCAGATCTCGGTGGCCGCTAGAGGGAGAAAACCTGGACAAAACTGACTTGCACTCTCCGTGTAATGGCTAAACAGCCATGGTCGATCTATAAGAAAACAGTCAAAGACATGTTTGTAATCTATCAATAGATGGAGATTGAAGATTCTTATGAGGGGTTTAATGTAATTGACTGTGAAATGATGATGTGGATGATGCTTTCCTGTTGCATACTCAAGTGAGCAGCAGTTGTTGAAATGAATGCAAAAACAATATTGTTATTGTTCATTTTCCGAGCAAGCAGTATCTGTATGACATGTGGTCAGGTGGGTGGATTGTCACATGACCAAATATAGGCTACCCTACACCATAATGCCCAGTATGTTCATGTGTAAACACCCTATTGGCTGCTAAACTATATAGGCCACAGTATGCATGTATGATTGGTTAACTGGAATATGTTTGCTGTTAAATTATTATTTATTTATGTTTGTAAATATATGTTTTACTATTACATATATTGGCTATGTAGTACAACCTCTAAAGTGAAAACAATACATCCTAAATCCATAGAATGAAGAATATATTCAATTTCAATAACCCTGAAGAAAACAGTAGCCCCCAAAGTGTGGGGGATTCAAAATAACAAAGCTTGGTGCATACTTGGTGAGCTGAATGCTATTCCATTGTAAATTACAATGCTGCTTGTTCCTGTGAGTGTTTATACTGGTGGTAAAATGAAGGAGTATTTAGACTTTAACAGAACTTCAAATATTGGGATGTAGAGAAAAAGGTTTCATATATAGATTTAGCCACCAATATTATTCAATTAAGAAAACGATCTAATGCAGTGGTTCCCAAAGTGGGGGGGCGCGCACCCCCTGGGGGGCGCAGAGGCATGACAGGGGGGGGGCACGAGAGACCAGGAGGAAAAATGGTTATTTAAAAAAAAATCATAATTTGAAAAATTATTGATTCGAAAATAATATGATACAGTACAGTACTATTACGTCTGGGTCTCTGTGTTTCATTAAAGCTCTGTGTGTGTGTGTGGAACGAGCCATTTTGTGTGCGTGCGCAAGCGAGAGAGAGAGAGCGCACCGGTACCTGAGATCGTTGTTGTTAGCTTCTGGTGCTAGCGAGCTACGCTAACGGATATAAGGAGTTTTTTCAACAACAAAGTGGAGGAGAGTCCTCTCCTGTCAGAGAGGCTCAGTGAGCTAAAGGACTCTCTCAGTGTTATCTCAGTGGGTCTGAAACGTTTTGGTCACCATTAAAGTAAACAATTATTTCCGAGGCACACGTTTATATGATCATTATAGTTATACAAAAATAAGAGAATAAATGAAAAACAGGTATGCAATACTATATGACAGTAAAAAAAAGAATAACGTTTAAAAGGGTGATTTGTAAAATATCCATAAAGAAAAAGTAAATCTGTTTACAGTTCTGTTTCATATGGGTGTTGAGAGATGTATCCATAGATCTCTTCATTTTGCTCTCAAAGTGCACCAGATTGATGCATTTAACTTCAATATTTAAAAATAAATCTTCCCGGGGGAGCTTGCCCCCGGACCCCCCTATGTGAGGTCCACACACCACCTATAAAAATAGCACTTTACCCCTGCTTACACCTATATGCCGTGAGCTGATTATCGAGCCTTCATTGTAACAGTTGCGGGTACACTGTGTATATGCGTGGGGATTGTTGCAGTAGAAAATTCCACTGTAGCGACCGGTACATTAATGGGAAACCCTAAATGTTTGAGCACCCTCTATGAAACGTCAAGCTACCCCACAGCACCCCCAAAATAAATCTCTGGCGCCGCCACTGAGCCTGACTTGTGTTGGAGGGGCCCAACTTTTTTTTTTCTCCAAAGGGGGGGCCTGACAGAAAAAGTTTGAGAACCACTGATCTAATGCATGATGGGAGAATAAAATAATAAAAACAAACCTGACTTCCTAAAAAACACCAATACTCACTGCCTGCTCCTCCTCAGTGCAACCACATGAGGGCAGCAGAGAACTTTCGTTTTTTCTGGATAGACTTGAAGCGTGCAATTGCATGGTGAACATGAGGTCAAATGTTAATGGTAGGCCTTATTCTGTACCATTTCCCATTAACCAAAACCTTATGAATATATTTTCTTTGTTTACATTCAGGCAACAGGGCAGCCAAGCTCCAGATCTTTAGGGGACCCACATTCCATAGTTTTATTGCCAATTTGTCGGTAAAAACTGTAATTAAATAACATGAGTGTAGCGGCAAACTCAGAATAAAAAAACAGCAACATATTTTTACCAATCAAATTAATATTTCTGTTTGCACTGCACTTGTGGGCACATAGAGTGCGCAAACAGGGTTTAAACAGGGGGCCTCCAGCTTATTTCTGCCCCATGGCCCCCTGACTGGTCAATCTGGCAGTGGATCTCGTAATGCAGAAGATCAGAAGGCTATGAAAACAGCCGACACAAAGGGGGTTCATGGAGAGTGTGTGAGTGATTGAGTGAGGGACAGAGCAGGGAGGCCGATTAGACATGACATGGAGTTAGAAAGAGCTATGGAGGGCTGTAGAGCAGATAGGGAGATGTGATTGAATGTTGGTCTTAGAGTAAAGGAGGCAAGTGTCACAGGCCCAGGTGGAATTCATTGTCACGGTGACTTAAAGCGTGGTTACCGTGGAGATGGTGATGAAAAACAGCGGCATGGTGGACGGCACTTCTGGGTCAAAGCGTGACCAATAGCATACAGCCCAGAGTGCCTCAGGGACAGAGATGATTACATGCAGGGCCGCCAACATTTTGTGTTTTTAAGTATATACATGTGTGTTTGAATGCACAGTGTTTAAGTAGTGTAACAGGGCAGTCTACTTGAATTGTGTGATCAGAAAATGAGCGGCAGCTAAGCACCAAGATGGTGGTCCTACTGCTGCCCAGAGGAACTTTTAACACCTTAACCACCAACATATCTCATTACTGTGTGTGTGTGTGTGTGTGTGTGTGTGTGTGTGTGTGTGTGTGTGTGTGTGTGTGTGTGTGTGTGTGTGTGTGTGTGTGTGTGTGTGTGTGTGTGTCTGTGTGTGTGTGTCTGTGTGTGTAGGTTTGAGCATGACTGTGTAAGAGCGCACCTGGATCTTGTTATAGTTCAGAAGAGGGGGGGCACAGTAGCTAACCATTTTGATTTCCCTCAGTTTCACCACCTCAACAAGTCCGAACACAACAGCCAGAAATATACGGTGTTGACAAACTACCAGGTAATAAATGTATCCACCCGGTGAAAATAACTAATTTCAATCATGAATAAATGTCAAGCAAAATAACAAGGCAAGATGAAGACCAAATCATCCAATGTATTAAATGTAGCTAATTCTTCCATTCTACTATTTTGCGACTCTACCCCATCAGGCATCACCTCTCCAGTTTCTCTATTTTCCCTGAAGAGGGCAGTGTGGTGGTTGCTTGTTAAAACACTTTCAGTCAATTACATTTACAGGTGCATACCATAGACCATAAGATATTTTAATATGATTAGAACCAGTTCTCCATATGCTATAAAAGAAACACCTCACCTATTTAATATAAACAGGATTTAGCTGGTATTAGTAGGGTTTTATTGTTCACACTAACAATTAAATGGCTCAGTTTGCCGTACTGGCGCAGTATGAACTCACTCTCCTCGATCTGCGTGCCCTCGAACCGACTGTGACGCATATTTCCCGTTGTTTTCTTTTGGTTTCATCTCGTCCTAAATGCAAGACGTCTTGCTGAGTTTACTGCATTGTAAGTGAAGGGGTAGAAACCTCTTGCACACTTATGTATGTGGCATTTTGTATTTTTTCTGACTAAAGTCTCAGAGAAATTTGACTTAACTGCCCTGTAGCGTGCACAAACCAGTGGGGATCATGTTTAATTGGAGGGGGTTTGATAAATTAGAAAAATACTGCAACAAGGGGTTTATGTCTAAAAGCTATAGGCTTACAGCTGGGGCCTGGCTCTTTGTAAGGTGCTGATGTGTGACAGTTGATGGATTGAATATGCTATTTGTGCTAATACTTGGATCCAATATATTGAATCATTTGTACATTGAATGAATCAAAATGAGCCTTTGACTAGGGTGAAACCACAGTTACAACAGATTGGGAGAGTCCAGGGTCTCATTGAGTTTTTGGCAATAACATCCCACATAATCCCTGACATGGTACAGACGCCCACCACACTTTGAGCGAGGCCCTTCAAATGGGATACCCAAAAATCTCTTATTTAACTGGCTTTGAGAGGCTTGGCATTGTTTTAATGAAAACATACTGAATGAAGGGGAAAGGAATATGAATACAAAGAAAATAAATATGGAAATGATTACCTGGGTGTTTTTTGAGCATGTGTGCCTGAGTATCTGCACATGGACAGTACTGTGTGTGTGTGTGTGTGTGTGTGTGGTGTGTGTGTGTGTATGTGTGTGTGTGTGTGTGTGTGTGTGTGTGTGTGTGTGTGTGTGTGTGTGTGTGTGTGTGTGTGTGTGTGTGTGTGTGTGTGTGTGTGTGTGTGCGCGCATATGTGTGTGTGCATAGGTGTGTGTGCATATGTGTGTGTGCAAATGTGTGTGTGCATATGTGTGTGTGTGGTTAGAGTCCTGGGGATCAGTATTATGCTTGGACCGTGGCCATTGTGATTACTACAGAGGTGCAGTTTTCTCGTCCCTACTGAATCCAGTGTGAACCCTCACTTTAGCTTCCCACATCCAAAAATGCGGCTATGCTCACTGTTGTGCAAGCAAATGCAAAAAGACATCTGTTTAGAATTCCTGGCTTTAAATGAGAGATGGTGGTCTCTGTATGATAGGTTGATGTTTATTTGTGATTCATTCCTTGATAAAACTCTGCAAAAACGTTCTGCACGCCTCACAGATGTATCATACATTTCAGAAGCTGTGTGCCACGTTACAGTGATAAGCTGCGTAAATAGAAAGGAGGAAGGAAGGGCAGTAAAGTGAGAAAAGCAGAGTTTAATATGAGCAGGAGTGTGT